ACACACACACACACACACACACACACACACACACACACACACACACACACACACAGGCATATGTGGCTTACGGGGACTCTTCATAGGTGCACAGGTTTTTATACTGTATTCTATCCCCTAAACCTACCCCTCACACAAAACTCTCTCTCTCTAGTTTTCTGTGATGGGTAGGTGTAGGGTTAAGGGACTGTATGTAAAAGCAAATGTAAAGACTGGTTTAAAGCTCCTAATTAATGACATTTTCCAATATTCAGTGACATAATCTAAAGTGAGAACTATTTATGGTTAAAAAGTTGTTTACAAAGCATTATCTAACACTTTACATATGAGCTAATTAAACAATACAATTTTGGTTAATTACAGTGACAATTAATGAGGAACTCAATTGTATAGTCTATTAATGCATTAACTACAGTTTATAAACTATGAATTAACTATAAACTAATAATTTGGAAATTATTTTTAAGTACTTTATGAGTGTATACTTATAGAGATATAGGGAGAGACGTGACAGGGTTTTAATGTCCAGATATTTCATTTGCACTGGGCTAACATTGTGGTGAAAAGTGGAGCTTTTGCTTAGGTTGAAGATGAAAATCTGATCATAACAAAGTGATATGTGGCTCACAATGTCAAGTCACCTTTATTTACAGTTGTGCTCAAAATTGTTCATACCCTTGGTAAATATGATCAAAGAAGGCTGTGAAAATAAATCCGCATTGTTTATCCACTTGATCTTTCATTAAAAAAAAAATTATAATAATAAATTCTAACCTTTATTTAAAGTAAAAAAAAAAAGTGAAAATGGGGGAAAATCAAATAAATATTTTTCTCTAATACAGTAAGAGGACGTAAAACAAACTCCATCATATTTATTTGTCAGACACGACTGGAACTTTAAACGGGATTGGGTTCAATGGTCAGATGAAACTAAAAAAATGAGCTTTTTAGCAGCAAACACTCAAGATGGGTTTGGTGCACACAGGGATAAAAAAGTACCCCGTGTGTACAATGAAATATACTGCTGGATCTTTAATGTGGTGGGCCTATTTTTCTGCGGGAGATCCTGGATATCTTGTTCAGATAGATGGCATAATGGATTCTATAAAATACCAATGGATAGAAAATTAAAAACTGACTGTCCATGCTAGAAATCTTATAATGGGCCATGGTTGGATCTTCCAACAGGACAATGATCCACAAACAAACATCAAAATCAAAACAAAAAGGGGTCACTGAGAACAAAACCAAGCTTCTGCCCTGGCCAACCCAGTTCCCTGAGCTGAACCCTATAGAAAATGAGTGTGGTGAACTGAAGAGGAGAAGCATCAACATGCAGCTGGAAATAGTGTTAATTTCGTTAACGTAGACTATGACGAAAAATTTTCGTAGACGAGCTTTTTTTCCGTGACTAAGACGAGATGACAATAAGGTCAATAAACGATAACTAAGACTATATGAACATGCAATTTCGTTGACGAAATAAGACGAGACTAAAATGTATTAAAAAGATAAAAACTTAACTTTTTTATAAAAACGTTTTATTTTCGTCAAAAAAAGGAGACAAATTGTTATTGCGGACTGCTCTACGCGCCTCTACTACGCGAGCTCTCATGAGTGCGGTTGCCAGATATCAAGAGAATCAGAGCTTCGCTGTTAAATTCATACATTTTCTGCCCGGTGTGTTTTGCTCATTTTAAGCAAGCTGGCAACCATGCGCACGCGCTCGCTCCTCACTGCTGAAGCGCCGCCGCAGATGATCTGAAAAACAAACACTCTGGAGTTTAGCGATCTAAATGAAAGCGTCATTCAGCCAGTCAGTGTTCTGTCATGAGATCTCGACTGTATTGTTTGCGATTGTGATCGCTGAATAAATGCACTTACTGAACCGCTGTTGTTTTAATAGAGAAATAGACTATTGCAATTATGGAATTAGTGGAATTACTAGGAATTTCACTGTTATTTTTCGTTTGTTTTAGCTGTTTTCATAACGTAGACAGAGAGATTGCATAAGTCTTTTGTATTGATTTATATAATAAAAAGCCTATAATAAATCAGTACACTTAGATGAGGTAAAATACACCATGTGTGTGTCCACATTCTATTGATTTGTGCTTACTGGAGAAAGTGCAATACCTGAAATGCAAAAGTAAATTTCTCAAATGACAACAATCATTACGATTATAATATTGAGAAAAAAATCATTTTTATCAGTTTAACCATTATACAGAATGACGAAAATGTGACTAAGATTTCATTGACTAAAACCTGACTAAAATGCTCATACATTTCATTGAATAAACATTTGAGTAAGACTATTAAACTAAATAAAAAATGGCTGCCAAAATGAATAGTGCTGTACGGTTAATTAATAATAATCTTATTGCTAAAATGTCGTTTTCATCGACTAAAACTAGATTAAAATACTAAAGGTTTTCTTCGACTAAAACTAGACTAAAATACTAAAGGTTTTCTTCGACTAAAATGTTGAGACTTAGTCGACTAAAACTAAATAGGATAAGATTGACTAAATATGATAAAAACTAACAAGGACATTTTAACACGGGACTAAGACTAAGACTAAGACTAAAATGAAAATAGCTGACAAAATGAACACTAGCTGGAAATCTGAAAAGTCTGGAGAGATTCTGGATGAAGGAATGGTCTCTGATCTCCCGTCAGATGCTCTCTAAACTCTTCAGGCATTATAGGTGAAGACTCAGAGCTGGTCTCTTGGCAAAAGGAGGTTGCAAAAAGTATTGGACAAAAGGGTATGATTAATTGTGACCAATGTGTATTAGAGAAAAACATTTATTTCATAATGAGATTTCTCTCCCATTTTAAATTCTTATTCTCCAGGTTAGATTTTAGTAAATTTTTATTTTTAAAATAAAATATCTAAAGGATTGATGATACAGATTAATTTTCTTTGATCATATTTACCAAGGGTATGAATAATTTTGAGC